AGAGAGAGAGAGAGAGAGAGAGAATATTGTCCAGGTCTTGTCCTGTCGCCCACCTGTACCAAGTAGGTGGGTTATTCTTGGCCTTCCTCAGCCTCTTTTCCCTATCGCACAATATACGTGTATCCGGGACCTAACAAATATTTCAAGGACACATTTACCCACGTTGTCGTGGTAGTTATAGTTCATAGTGGGCCAACACAATAACATCCACGACAGACTCTGAAAAGAAGAAGAAGCAGACCACACAGCCCTTCAACCACCTGCAGGAAACTACTTGGAGATTTCCAGGGGCAGTGATTGGTTGGAGGAAAGGGAAGCACAGTGAAATGATAGCACTACGTAGGGTTTAGGTTTAGTTTCTGAAAAGAGAAAACAATAAATACAATAAGAGTTACTTAGCGCAGGACAAAGGCAAGAGACGGGCAGGAACAAAAGAGGGAGAAAAGGAGAAGACCTACCACTCCCAGTGATACTTTCCAACACCAAGGACAAAGACAAATACACAGAAAAAAAATTAAGACAAATCAGGAAAGCGTTTCCATAGCATTTAATTTTAATGACATTTGACAAGTAGACCTATAATATACTTACAAAACTGTACATAAATTACTGAACAAGATTATGTAAAACATTGAAAAATGAAGGCTTAAAATTGATAAATAAATAGACGCAACAGAACACAAGTATACAACATGGAACAAAAATACAAATTATGAAGAAAGTGTTTAGGGGGAGAAGGGAGGGGGGGTTTCAGAAGCAGCTTTTTATTCTGTAGATGTAGACTTCTGGTGAAAGAAACAGAAGCATTATGAGGAGGCTCCGTGATCTCAGATGTCAGTTTGGACTTTTTATTGGAACTGAACAGAAACATCACACGGCCTGATGATAGCTTAAGCATTTACACTGGTTCCAACACTTGATATACATCTAGTTATCGCTGCAATACAATATACTAATCTTCAATCAAATCCGATGTACGAGTCCATGATCACTATGATACAATATGGGTTTAACACCCTTTCTAACACAACCAAGTGATATCAGAGTGCTTAGAGCTTTTACTAGTATGGGATAGAGCACAATATAAATGCGATCTATTATTATTATTATTATCAGTATCTATTAGACGAGTCCAGTGTGATACTACACCAGCGGCTTCTCACAAAGATTAGAGGTATGA